CAACATCTTTTTCCCAATTAAGTGCATTGGCTGTATGGACTCCTACACGGAAGGATGGTTACGGGAGTGACAAACTGGAAGGTTGTTTTCTTTAGTTGATTTTTTGGGTTGTTAGCATGTTTTGTGCGGGAGTTCCTTTTTTACTTTTGTTGGGAGAATAAGCTTTTTCATTCTCTGTAGAAGGGCAGGAGCACCCCTTGTGCTCCATTTAATAAAAAGTTGTTTTGCTGATAAAAAAAAAATAATAATAATATCAATCTATAAATTTTTACTTTAATTGCTTTTTATTTCAATAATTGTTGTTTGGATTGTATTTTGAAATACTATATTAGCATTTTTTTTTATTTGAATGGATTTACATTTGGGGAGGAAGGAGTCAAATCTTAAGCCTTGAGCTAGGAGTGTGCACCTTACAATTCGACTTATAACCATTGGACTGTAAAGATCTAGTGCAGATTAGCATGTATTTTTAGTCATTTGTAAGCGAGAATAAAAAACATGAAAATATCATTAAAGGAGTGTTTATGATTAAGAGGGAATAATAGTAGTTTTAACTCAATTGAAAAAATATTATTAATTTAAACTAAAAATCTACAGTTGTATATTGACCAGTGACTTTAAAATTTACCTCTCTTATATGAATTTCTAGCTATGCCATTGAATGTTTGCATATTATATGTACTATACTTTAAAACACAAAAAGTCCATCGATGCATCCAATATTTTTGTGCTCCTGGAAATTATTCACAAATTAAAGAAGGTGGTGCCACAAAACTTTGTTTACTAAATCATCTATGTAGTAAATGTTACTGTAAAAACATAGAGAATCAAGTTATTTAGATTTGTTAAAGTATATTAATTGATACATTCTTTGATTCAATATATTACATAACACACTTATTAAAAAATTGTCATTTTTTTAAATTAAAAATAAACAAATTTAAAGATGTAACCATGCATAATGCATGCAGGAACTGGATAAATCAATTATACTTATATCATATTTTAATAACTAAATTGAATAAGTGTTGAAAAATATGTCGAATTGAAAAGTGTACCAACCATTTTTCTTTTTTAAAACATTTTAGGTTGTTTCTGTTTACTATGGAGGGAAAGGGTGATGATAGAGTGGTGACAAGATGAAGGGGCTTATTGGTACAAAAGTTGAAATCTAGCCATTGGTAAGAGATAAATAGTGGATAATAGATGGTGGAGACTGATTTTAATAATTATTTAGTTGTATAATCATAAATAATTGTTATTTAGCATCAAATGACGAAGAAGGATAAATTTTAAAAGAATTAATTATTTTTTTCTTAATAGTAAAAGAGTTTATTGTTATTGTTAATGTTATTATTTTTTTTTGGTACATTAGATATAATAAATTATTCAATAGGGGATATCCCTCCCCTACCTTATTTTTTTTCACCTATTTTAAAATTTGAACTCAAAATTTTTAATTTTAAATTTCAAATTCTTAATTATTGAATTACTGAAGACACTTCTTATGCGATAATATTACTGTTATTATTAATAGAGAAAAGGCGTCACACTAGCACTTGATTATTGGTGGGACTAAAAAAGAGTATAAAAATAAGTTTTAGGGACTAAAAAAGGAGACTCTTTGAGTTTATGATCAAAAAG